GCAAGCGCAGGATCCTGGTAAATAAAGAGATTTGCCTTAATCTGGATTCTAAAACCCTTGCTTGGAAGCATCCTGCTTGCCCCCTACAAGCTGTTAAGGGCACACGGAACAGAAGACCTGCCAGCAAGGCACAGCTAATGGCATTGGGCATATTTTTGCAGACTTCCAGGACGAGTTCTTAAAATGCAAACCCAACTAAAATGTTACCCCTAGAATGACTCTTCTGCCGCCTATTGCTAGAAGATTTTAAATTACCCCTGTCTTATTTGATGAAAATATTATAGCAGGTGACTGAAATGAAGAGTAGAGTCAGCTCATTCCGAGAGGCAAGCCAGTCCCCATGGGATCAAAATCAAAATGGAAAACAATTTTGTTTGCCTTTCACAGGGGGAAAATCAGACACTGGGTATGGTGTGATACAGCTATAGATGGGGGTGGGGGATGGGAAGAGGGGAGATTTTCATTGAAATTAATCTGTGTTGTGTGTCAAACTGTGAGAAGGCTTTGCAATCCTGGATCTGCTGGATTTATGGCACAGTGACCCGAGAAATCTCACACTTTGTTTCCATATTGCTTGTTCCTGTAGCCGAAGCACTATCTCTTAAGGACTTTTCCTTGTCTGACAATTCCCTTCCATCTGACCAAAGGACAGCACCTCCTCACAGGGCATAAAAGAGGATGAGAAGTGGCCATTTAGAGTGAGGAACAGACAGACCTGCTCTGTTGGTTTTTAACAACCCGGCTTTTCCACGTTACAAGCTTCATTTGGATGTGGAAATTATTTCTTGAGGATTATTTCTTTGAATGTCTCACCAGAGGCTGTGTTAGTCAACATGAAATGGCTTTCTCCTAATTCCGCTAATAGCTCTTTTACCCAAGGAGGCTGATTGTTATATCCTTGAAAATGAGAAAATGAGAAATGAAAGCTGGAGCCGAGCCTGAGGCATGCAATATGCAAACCCCCCGTGGGCCGCCAAGACCCATGCCCTCCACCAGCTTTGCAATAAGTCTGCTCCCTGGGCTCTTCCTCCAGCTGACCTCAACCTCATTCCCGAGGGCATGAGAGAGGAGGCAGTCGTTCTGTTTTGCTTTTGTTTGCTTGAAATAATAAATCCAGAGGTCTCCCTTGCCAGGGATTTTCCCTTGTCAGCAGTTTTCTGTCTCATTTGCTTTCTAAGTCAGACTGCAACCCAAGCCCTCCTTGGCTTTCGCCCTGACCCCTTGCTTCTGGGAGCTGATCAGAAGACATATAGCCCAGGGGTCCCTGACATACGCGGTGACTTAGTGTCTTCCACCCCAAGAACGTATTTCTGAAACGCTCCCCTCTCCAGCATCTGGGTGCTCCGCTATAACTCAGGCAATAATGGACATTAGCCTGTCTGCCACCAACTACTTATAATCTCTTTCCAATTTGGGTCAGGGACCTAAAACCATAATTCTTGCCATGTCAGAGGTCATGGGCGCGGGGGAGAAGAGAAAAAAACAACCACAGTGCTCAACTGTCAAATTAGACTTTGCTTTGCAAGAAAATGCCTCTCAGGGCATGGGGACTACCTGAGTCCACTGCTGACTTTTACAGAAACCGGATGCTAGTCATCCCAATTCCAAATGAGAAATCTCAGGTAACCAGATGGTGTTTGAGTGTGCTTTGTAAAGGCCAAGTACACAGGATGACATTAAGAATATTACAAAAGGCAGTTTGTGTATGCCAAAGGTTTGAGAGAAAGCTGGTGATCTTCTCCACTAGATATGCCTAGTACAGTGGTCGGCAAACTCATTAATCAATAGAGCCAAATATCAACAGTACAACAATTAAAATTTCTTTGGAGAGCCAAATTTTTTAAACTTAAACTTCTTCTAACGCCAATTCTTCAAAATAGACTCGGCCAGGCTATGGTATTTTGTGGAAGAGCCACACTTAAGGGGCCAAAGAGTCGCATGTGGCTCGCCAGCCGGTTTGCCGACCATGGGCCTAGTAGACTCTGCAGTGATAACTGACATTTCCAGGTGACACCCCACAGTTCTGCCAAGTCTTGGGATCTTCCTGGAAAGATGACATTATCGTCTATATTAGGGGTGTCGAACTCAATCAGAGAAGGGGCCAAAATCTAAAATCCAGCCTAAATCGCGGGCCGAATGGTTTACTGAACAGTCATAAACTGTCATTGTGATGGAAACGCAGCGGAGTGCAGTGATGACAGCGCGGTGTGGGCCACATTGCAAGGTCTGGCGGGACGGATTTGGCCCTCGGGCCTTGTGTTTGACACATGTGGTCTATATCATTTATTCTTAAAGCCCATTTTCATTGGACCCCCTGCTTCACAGTTATTGAAAGAATCAAATGTGATACACGAATGAGCTTGGAACGTGGAGTGCGAAACAAACATCAGACATCACTATTGCTTCTAATACTTTAAAAATTGGTAATCAACATGTTGTTGACTATAATGGTATCACCAAATAATCAGTAACCACAAAGGTCAGTTTACCATACTGTCCCATTCCCCAAACATGCTGGAGCAAACAGAGTTAAACTGAAAATATATACATTGAAACCATCTATTGCAATTTTCCTTCCTTCTCGGTAATGTACACTTCTTTTCTTTCTTTCTTTCTTTCTTTCTTTCTTTCTTTCTTTCTTTCTTTCCTTCCTTCCTTCTTTCTTTCTTTCTTTTTTACTTTTAAATATATTTTTCTTGATTTCAGAGATAAAGGGGGAGAGAGAGAGGGCGAGAGAGAGAGAGAGAGAGAGAGAGAGAGAGAGAGAGATCAATGATGAGAGAGAATCTTCAATTGGCTGCCTCCTGCATGCCCCACACTGGGATTAAGACCACAATCCAGCATGTGCCCTGGCTGGGAGTTAAACTGTGACCTCCTAGTTCATAGGTCAACCTCATATTTTCTCACTGAGCCACACAGGCTGGGCAGCAATGTATGTTTCAAGAAAACAGTTTCAACTTTGTAGAGCTCTAACAAAGGAGACCAGCCTGAGGATGCTTAATGCACTTCCCTTTAGGAGGCACTTTAGCCAAAGACATCAGAAGAGGCAGGGGAATCTCACCCAGCCCCATGAACAGTGTACTGATCCAAGTCCTCAATAGGAGCCAGCCTTGTAAAGGCCAGCTCCCAGACCCTTAGGGTCTTCTTACCTCCTCAGGGAGCCTGGTACCTGAGGTCTATCCAGCAAGAACTCAGTAAGTGCATCTGGAAGGAGATACGGGAGGAAGGAAAGACCAGGGCTTCTGACAATGTCATCTGCTCATCCACGACTGCTCTGAAATGAGAATGGGTTCTAGGTCTTTCTGTATTTGTTTCCAAGCCTTTCCAAATGTTCTCATCTCTTTCATCTCCTCAATACAAGTTCCCCTGACCAATCTTTTCGTCATTATCCACAGTGCACAAATATAGCATTTTTTAAAAATACTGCAAATCACATCTGCTCTATATGCCAAATCATTCGGCAGCTCTCATTTAGGACAAAGGTGAGATACACACTTAATTTGGAGATGTCTGTTGTCTTAACCTCTCCCTTCTTTATCTGGCCATGAGAACAAGGAGTGGGTTGGATACGGGACTTGAAAGACTGCCATCATCCATCTCTTTCACAGATGTTTTCCAACCGGGCCTGTACCAGCAGGGGTAGATCCAGAAGGGCCCCGGAGGAAGCAAGAAATGCCTTCCTATTTTTTTTCTTATATGAAAGATTCCTTAATGAAACCGGGAAGGCACTGAGGTTGAGCCAAGTGGGCTCTTAATATTTAATTCCAGAGACAACCCACCACCCTCCTACGACACAGTGTCTTCCCGGAGCATCTTAATAATAATCAAAACGGTCCAACTGCTGAACAGTGAAGATGAAGAGAGAAAAAATCTCCTACTACCACACGATGCCAGCTTCAGAGGACAGAAAAGGGCTGCATTCTAAACACAGACAGGCTTAGAAATAGTTTCCCTTTGTGGGAGATTGGAGTCTAGCGATGTGACTCTGGGACCACTTCTTCACTCCTCCTGAGAGACCCCGTCCCCCCGAACAAGCCTGCAGAGCTGGCAAAAATGTATTAAAGAGAAACTGTGGTAAGCGCCAGAATCATCCTTGATGCTGGACCACGGGCTGATATTTCTTTTCCACACAACCTGGATCTCCTGCAAGTGGCCGGTGCAATTTTGAGAATTAACCAAAGGACCAAATAGTCCTTTGATTCCTACTCAGGCTCCCTGGAGCTGGGAAAGTTTCCAGGGACTTCGTTCTGGATCCTTCCATTGAGATCTGACTATTGGGAGGGATCCTTTCGCCTCTTGCAGCCCCATCTCCCCTATGTCTCTCTCTGGGTAGACAGTTTTTTTTTTTTTTTTTTTTGTCCCTGGGAACAGTCTCCATCCAACTACAGTCTCAGAAGGCAGGAGAGGACTCCACAGCCCAAGGGCAGAAGGAAAGGGAAAAGCAGGCGCTAACCCAACCCGCTGATGTCTGGGGACTCCTGCCCCTGCTCCAAACTGCTTCTTTCCCGCCTCTTCCCGGGAAGCACCCAAATCTCTTGCACTCTCCCTTGGAGCTGGCCAGGGAGATTCCATGCAGGGACAGGAGGCGGCTGTCCGCGCTGCACAGACTCCAGTTCAAGGCGCGCGCGCAGGGCCTCGCCCCGCCCCGCGGGTCCCGGTCATTCATCCGCGGGTCCTCACCTTCCAGCCGGCGCCACGGCCGCCCCGCGGGGTCCGCCGCTCACTCCGTGCCCACTCTCCGATTGCTTTTAAATCCCCAAAGCCAACCTCATGAGAATCTTTCCCTCGCTTCTCACACCCGCAATGTCCCCTTGAAACGCATAAAACCTCCCATCTCGCGCATCCTAAGCAGGAGGCTTGACGAGAGAACACCGGTCCCCACGCCACCATCCCACCCCCCGCCACCCCCGGCCATCAACCCGGTGCGGACGCCTCTCGGTCCCCCTGCCGGACTGGGGGCCACCCCTTCGCACGGTGGATACAAAGAGAAGCCCCCTCACCCTTCCGTGGATGCCATGGTGCGGGGAACGCCCCCTCCTCTTCGGCACGATCCGGCGGCGGCGGCGGGCGAGGGAGCGGGCGGGCGGGCGCCGGGCTGAGCGCGCGGGGACGGCCGGGCGCGGTATTTAACGGGGAGCCTCTCCCCGCCTCCCGCCCGCCTCCCGGGTAAGCCCTTCCGCGCCCCGACGGGCTCGGGCGGCTCTGCGGGCGCTAATCCGCGCCTCGGCTCTCCTCCGCGCGTCCTGCTCTTCGGGGCGCTCGGCGGGGCGCGCGGGGGGCTCCGGAGGTGGCTCCGCGGACCGAGCGCCGCCCCGGGGACACCTGTGTGTGCAGCGGGGCTCGTGGGCGCAGCGAGTGGCGGAGGGTGGTGGCAGGGGAGGACGTGTGTGTGTGTGTGTGTGTGTGTGTGTGTGTGTGTGTGTGTGTGTGTCCGCCAGGGGAGGCGGAGGTTAGGCTGCTGCGCCCTGGCTCAGCGCCGGCCGGGGAGGGATTGCAAGGTTTAGCCCCGCCGGAGCTGGGGATTTGCAGGCGATCCCTCTCTATTTTCGTCCGGAGCTGACATCACGCGCGACGCAGCCTCTGGAGACTTCTTTCCCTGCCGCCCCCTCCCCTTCCCCCCCCCCCCCAACTCTAGACGCTGCCCCTCCTCCGCCCTCCCTCCCCCGCCCCCAGCCACTAGCCATAAATTAGCCAAATACGAAAAGGGACCTTGCCGGTTGCCGGGGAAGGCCTGAGCAGCCCCGTGCCAGGAGCCCAGGAGCTAAGGAGTCGCTATTGTTCCCGGTCCAGTCCGCGTGGACCCGGGTCACCCCGCAGGGGCGGCGCAGGCTCCGGCGCTGGGACCTGTGATGCCCGTCCGGTTGTTCGGCCCAGCCTCGCACCCGGGCGGACCCCTCCGGCTCAAGCTCACCCCAAGCGCACCCGCACCGGCGGCACACCCACTGCACCCTCCCACGTCCCGGCTGCCGGGCCCCGTGGAATCCTAGCGACCTAACCACGCAGGCGGCGTGGCCAACATGAACCTAGCTGCGTGCCCTCCCTGGCCGCGGCTCGGATAATAAATCTCTGGCCTTCAATTATTCATTGAATGTAATATGAATGCAGTTCCCTGGGGGCGGCGGGCGGGATGCAGAGGCTGTGGTGTTTTTAAGCGGAGGGGGCGCTGGCTGGGAAGGCGCGGAAAGATGGCCCAGGTTAGTGGCCTGGAACGCGTCTCCTCCCATTGGGCTGCTCCTGCCCCAGGCTCCTGAGCCCCAGGGACAGCGCACAGAGACAGATGGGTCTGAGATCCCCTCCAGCTTTGCATAATAATGAAGAGATCCGTGCCAAATGTATTCTTTGCTATCCAGAGGACACCTCCAGTTATATCGCCTGCCGGGCAGGGAGGAAAAGCCTCATTTTCCACGTCTGCAGAAGGGGATCAGAAATAACCCCCTTTGCAAGGCCCCTCTGCGGTGAGAACTGCACAAGCTCTCTTGAGAGACAGATTTGCAGATTATAAACGCACCAGAGATGTAGGTGGAGCACGCCTGTGGCTTGGGACCTGCCAGACTCCTCCAGGCTGGGTCTCCGAACCAATGATGCCCACTAGATGCAGGTGTCCCTGGTCAGCTCTCCTGGGGGAGGCATTCTTCCTTCTTGGCTGCGCTGACCCTGGTAAGAAGAAGGAATGCATCTAACTACATGGACACACCCAGAGCTCCGCCCAAGCTCAGTGGTTAAAGGCCAAGCACTGGTACCTGAGAGCCTGAGTCAGTTCTTCATCAACTTCCAGAGCAGTTGATGGGCAAAGTCCTCAACTTCTCGGCATCCCACCTATGAAATGGGAGTCTCAGCCTCAACCTCACTGAGCCAAGAGCAGAGAACACAATGAAATGTAAAAGATAGGCAACGCTGTGAAGCTAGAGTCTGGCACCCAATGACCCCTCAAAAGATGTTCAGTTAAATGGAAGGGTCCTTGCAAGATAGTTTCTTGAACACAATATCCAAGGCCAAATAGGAAGTTGAGAGAAAGGACAAGAACAAGATAAAAGAAATAAATGGACTCTAAATTAAAAAAAAAAAACCACCTGAAAAAAAAGAAAAGAAATGGAATTAAAAAAAAAAAAAATCTCTGCTCACCTCCTCCCTTCACCTCCCTTCCCGAAATCTGAGTTCAAACATCTTCTGCCATTCATGTCTTCCTTCATCTCTCCTTCCTTCTCCTCTCCCCTCGTCCCTTCTTTCCTGTGTGCCCCATTAGATTAACCAGGTCTGTATCTTATTCAACCTAGGATTTTCACAAGCCCTCTAATTTTTTAGTTATTAAAGTAATGTGTAAATCTGTATTAAATTTACGGTATGTACTCTGGTATATGGACTTAAAACTAATAATTTGTGGATGAAAAGCTACTGTCCTGCAGGTTGGTGTTAGACTTGATACTGCCTTCTCCTTAGTCCTACCGAGGACTGTGACCTTGTAGCTGACGTTGTTTGGTACAAAACCTTTAAGTCCCCTTTTCTCTTTACAGTGAAGGATTTGACTTCCCGTTCTGCTGAGATGGCAGCTGGAGAAAAAACCTTAGGGCTCTCTCTGATCCCAGCAGCGCCACTGCAACCCCTTTAAGATGAGCATGAATGAACTTCCCATCACAATCCCTCCATATTCACACGCACACATGCCCAGTTGAGCAGCAACAACCAGTAGCACTCTCCGCAGAGAGCAAGGCACATGGTGGTATAGAAACAAGGAAAGTAAAAGGAAAGAGAAAAGGGGTGGCATTGTTTTAAAACCATCCAGTTGAAAAAGACTCTTAGGGCATTATGCTACGTGAGATAAGTCAGACAAGGTATGATATCATTTATATGTGGAATTTAAAACAACCGAACCTGTAAAAACAGAGTGGAATGGGGGTTTCCAGGGACAGGAGTTTGGAGGAATTGGGAAGATGACATTTAAGGGTACAAATTTTCAAACAGAAGGTTAAGAAGTCCTGGTTGATGTATGTCCAGCCTACCTAGTGGTTATGGATAACAATGCTGTACTATAGACTTCAACGTCGCTAAGAGACTAGATGTTAATTGTTTCCACCACACACACACACACACACGCACATATACACATACAAAATAAATGATAATTATGTGACATGATAAAGGGGTTAGCTAGAACTATAGTGATAATCATTATGCAATATATAAATGTATTAAATAAACACCTCGCACATCTAAAACTTACATGATGTTGTATGTCAATAAAATTATATCTCAATAAAATTTAAAGCCACTCAGTTATTTTTTCAATGTTCAGGACCCGAATCAGGTAAAGCATCATGCATGGCCAGATTAGATGGGAGTTTGTGATGTCACTTTGCCCCTTTCTCTATAAGGGAGCATCTTTGGGAACCTTGGCATTCCATCCTACCCTTGGAGGCATTTGCATTCAGTTGTGCTTAGAGAAGAGGCCAATTACATCATGTGGAATGTGCCACAGATAGTTCCAGATAACATACGTTCGTTAGCTAGAAGGAACTGATTCTCTTTGCTCTCACCAGAGGGCCCCTGCAAACATTCCCACCGAGCCTTCACTTCCAGAGCAAACTGGAGCTGTTCTTTGCAATGCTGGCTGCTCATGAGAATGTACTGGGAGAGCTTTTCACAAAACAACAATGCTCAGAGCACCTTTCATGGATTTTGGTTCCATCAGCCTGGGGTGTGTGACCCTGACCGGTATTTTTTAAAACTTCCCCAAGTGATTGATCCTACTGTGCAGCCCTTGTCAGGAGCCAGTGGACTAGAAATAGCTCACAATGGAGAAGGATCCAGAATCAGGGCCCCCAGAAGTAGCTGGAGAAAATATCCATGTTTAGCTTTTGGAAAGAAGAATACTAAGAAGAACATGTTAATGGCTACCCTCCTCTTTCCAAATACAGGAAAATTAACATTTTTGTCCAGGCAAATATTGGTGTGTTATTCTGCACAACGAATGTGGGAAGCTATAGAAACATAGGACTTTCTTCTTAGGTGGTACACCCGTGGAACATGGAGGGTAAGCACCTGTAACTACACCGCCCCACCTCAGTGCTGGGTCAGAATCTGCTTTCTGGGCAGGCAAACCTGTATGAAATCCTGCCTGTGCATGTTAGACTCTGTGATACCTTAGGCTGGGTACTTTATTATATATATATTTTCAATATATTTTTATTGATTTTTTACAGGGAGGAATGGAGAGGGATAGAGAGCTAGAAACATCAATGAGAGAGAAACATCAATCAGCCACTCCTGCACACCCCCCACTGGGGATGCCCCTGAAACCAAAGTACATGCCCTTGACCAGAATTGAACCTGGGATCCTTCAGTCTGTAGGTCAACACTCTATCCACTGAGCCAAACCAGTTTCGGCTTTTATTATATTTTTAAAGTGAATGTTCATGCCACATGTAAAAAATGACACTTTTATTTCTTTTTTAAAATATATTTTTATTGATTTCAGAAAGGAAGGGAGAGGGGAAGAGAGAGAGATGGAAACATCAATGATGAGAGAGAATCATGGATCGGCTGCCTCCTGCACACACCCTACTGGGGATGAAGACTACAACCTGAGCATGTGCCCTTATTGGGAATGGAACCGTGACCTCCTGGTTCACAGATTGAAGCTCAACCACTAAGCCACAATGTGCAAGGCTGTGGGCTTAACGTTCTCAGTTTCCTCCTCTGAAAACTGAAGAACATAGCAACAGCCACCTCAGGGCTGCCATGAGATTCAATGGGACAATATGTAGGAAATGCTTAGCTCTGAGCCTGGCACATAATGAAGATTTTCTAAAAGGCCATCCTAGACATGTGTGAGCTGCCAGTATGTGCCCAATTGAATTTATCACTGAGTTCACCTGAAAACCTAGCATCCCCTAAAGCCATCTAAATCGTTACCCTATTAACCCCTTCTTATCCCCACAGTGCACACGGTAAGTCTCCTAGCCAGCATTAAGGTGATGGAGCCTTGAGATGAGAGCAGAACCAGGTCAACCAGACCAGCTAACAGGAACAATTTTGAACTGTTTGGCATCTCTCAGTCTCCTCCAGGAAGCCCATGGTATGGCAGAAGCAGGAAGGTGAGATGCTCTGACATTTGCATATAGGTTTACCTTTCTAAGTCTAGCTTATTGATTCTCAAACAGTGTAAGAACCACTCTGCAGAGCTGAATACAAAAAAAGGAAGAGGAAGAGAAGGAGGAAGAGGAGGAGGAGGAAGAAAGAGGGAAGGAAGAGGGGGGAGA